AAAAAAAAATTAAAAAAAAAAAAAACATTGAAAATAAACTGAAATAGTGTAGACTAGTCTTGAATAGAGGATATTTATGACATTTAACTTGGACAAACTTTTCGTCGTCCATTACAATGATTTCTCTGCTCATAAACAAAATTATGAAAACAGCTGAGTTGGCTAAACATAAGTTAATTTTTTTGTTCTTAATAAAACAGTTGGATTTTTAAGAGCAAGTACTATCTGGGGATAGAAATTTGATTAAAGTCGAAAGAGACTTTCTAAAATTGCGAAAAATAATAAAAAATTTCTAGGATTACGATTATACCTCATTATTTCATTTCAGACGAACAAACATGATCCTACCGAATACTTGATGATCATGAAATCATTATCAAAAAGATTTTTTTAAGTATTGCTAAACCTTATACATAATAAGTTTGGATAGAAAAAAAAATTAACATACATACATTTTAATATCATATACACATCTAAAAAATTAATAAACATCTGATAAATTAGCAAAAAAAACGCAATCGACATTAAACTGTAGAGCTAAACTCGACGACAGGCTAAAACGGGACCCGCACGAATAAATCGAGCTACAAACAGGGCTCTCAAATCCGGTTTGCTCCGTGACGTCTTGGAGGCTCGACCAGACCGGAATAGCCTCTATCACCCATAGCTTTGGCTTACGAGCAATATACAGTTCGGATATAAACGTTATTAGGTATCATATACATTTTAGGTGTGGACGTCGCGAAGTGGTTATGCAAATTTACGCGTTTTTAAGTACATCCGCAGCCGCACGCGTTTCCCCATCGCGTATACAACCCTTTGACTCGGTTGTACGGTAATTCTTTCTCCATCGAAGCGCCACTCACCAACATAAATCAACGGCACCTTAAACGAACAATTATTACGTCTTTGATATGAGCAAACGCGCAAATTTCCCTAATTTAAATCATTTTACGGTCATCGCGTGCTTTTCACGCATGCCCGCACATTTCCTTATTTTCATTCAAACTAAGTAGTTTTCACTTGGCGCACACTCGCTATTCTCGCATTACGCAAGGAGCGAAGAAACCTCCCAAGTTTTTGTTAACAATTTTTTATTGAGACATCAACAAAGCAATCGGTAAAAAAGAGGGAGGATCCACTTTGCATCACGGCAAACTTACCCAACAGGTGATACTCTCCCTGGCGGGTCTCCTGACGCTGGCGTCCAGCCGAAGACTGGGGGCAGTGAAGCACCGGCGGGAGTCCAAGTGGGACATCATCCACCACGAGTACCACGGCCCACCAGCCCCGCTGTCGAAGGACGGCCGAGTGGTGGACACGCAGGAGGTGGCCGAGGCGAAGGCCAACCACCTGTCCATCCACGCGGAGACCGTCTCAGAGCTCGCCCGCCTCATGGCGGAGGCCAACGCTCTCGACGCCCAGTTCGGCAAGAAGGACCAAGAGGAGCAGCCCAAGGCCCAGGAGGAGGCGCAGCAGTCCAAGGCGCAAGCGGAGGAGCCAGTGGGGACGGGTGGCGAGGCGGCCCAGCCCGAGGCGCCCATAGTCGCTGCCCCCGTTGAGATGACGCCGGAGCTGATGGCGATGCTGACCGCGGCGGCGGCAGCCGAGGAGCAGGCCCAGCAGCAGCAGGCGGAGGAGGCCCCAGCCTCGGAGGCCGCCCCGGTGGTGGAAGCGGCGCCCGAGGCTGCCCCGGTGGCCGAGGTTGAAGCTCCGAGTGTCCAGGAGGCGCCCGCTGCTCAGGAGCAGCCAGCCGGGGAGGCCGTGGTGGGGGAGAAGCCGGTGGCTGAGGAGCCGGCCAAGCCCGCGGAAGAGAAGCCTGTCGTTGAGGCCGAGGCGGACAACGAGGTGGACGCCGAGAGGCCGATCACGGTGCCCCAGAGGAACTACGAGGGGCCGCTCGCGCCGCTCAGCGAGGACGGACGCGTCGTGGACACGATTGAGGTGAGGGCCCCACGGGGTGAATTTTTTTTTAAATTTTTTGGTTGAGCTGCTTGAAATCCTGATAAACAGACTTGGGGACGATTGCTCTGTGGATTTTCAAACCCATTTTTTCAGTGTATTCTTTTCGCTGGAGACATGTTTTATTCGTCACTTTTTTTTTCGTTATAGTATTGGGAGACTTTTTTATGGAAAATAAGAGCAATATATTTTATTTCATTCCAAAGTATTGTTTTTATTGTTTTCAAAACTTATTTATTTTTTGCACTTTAATTGTAATATATTGTTTTTACCGAGGGGCTGCGTACTCTGAAGTCTTTAAAAGACTTAGAATGACTTATGAAGTTTTTTTTAATGACTTCAAGAGTTCGCAGCCCCTCGGTATTTACTGAATTGTTTTTTCGATCACTAAATCAAAAGTAATAATTAACAAAATTTCTTTTTACCATGTATTAAGCATTCCACTTCGAGCAAAAATTATTTTAAAAAAAATATCCGTACGCAAGTAAGCTGATAAACTGAGTTCTTAGGAAAAAGAAATGTAGCTCATCTCTCCAGTTTTTTCAAGCTGACAAATTATTGTTAAAATTTTAAGAAACTAAAAAAATTAGCTGACCAACCCGACTATTGTTCTGATAGATTTAGTGGATTATTTTACATTCTTCATCTGTTGAAAAAAAAAAAAAAAAAAAAAAAAAAAAAAAAAAAAAAAAAAAAAAAAAAAA